CTGCAGTAGACTCAGTGGCCTGAGAATTAAGAAAGTACTGAGTTCTTTTGGAAAAGTGTATGTCTCCCATTAGAAGCAATTTCTTTTGGGGCTGCCATTCTTCCTGCTTCTATTTCCTCCTTCAGTTTGCCTTTTTCCTTTGTTAATGAATGGCATAATTTGCTTTTAAGTCACTTTTCTAGATCTAATTCTACTTCTCCTCTAAATGCACTAGAATTTTGTTTTATACAATGGCCCTTGAAAGAGATTTTAAAATTGAATTTGCTTTGTTCTTAATAAGGCTTTAGATAGCAACTTTTTTTGCTTTTTGCAAATACTGGTGCTACTGGAATTATATTTTATCATCTCTCTAATAAGTACATATCCCAAGGAGTCTAGTGGCAAGGCATTTTATTCCAGAATATTTTCCTAACTCTCTGTCAACTCCCAGCAGAGACAAAAGGAATAGTTTTCTTTGATTTGTACTTATAATGTGAAAAAATTAATTTATATCAATTTAAGCACCCTATCAAAACTATGTTCAAAGAGACTTTTTTCTTTCTCTAATTGTTGAGGATTATAAATAGGTTAAATGTACTTGGCTTTGTTTCATGTCTGATAATCTGCTGTGGTTTTGCAGACTTGTCTAGAGAAACAGAAGGCTATCAGACACAGCCCCTTTTGGTCTTTTCTGTCATCAGTAGTTACATCAAACCACAACTTGCAAAGAAATGAATTAGTGACCTTTTATTTAAGGGATATCTCATATTTTTATGCGGAAAAAGTCTTTTAAGGGATTCCTGTTACTCATTTGCTAAATTTGCCAGAACAAGTCAGGGCAAGATTTAGTGAGTATTCATATGTGCTGTGGATTTAGGGATTTTTTTTTTTTTTTTTTTGAAAAACATTGCTTTATTATCTCTTCGTGGTAACACACTTTTAAAAACGTTTTTTGAAGATTTCTAAAATGTCTTCCCAAAAACCCACAACCCTATGAGGGCAAACCCCACTGCCTGTCAGGGACTACTACTAACTATGGACTGGCAATGTCTTAACTTGATACCTGTTTCTGCTTATATTATTTGGAACTTTTCCAAACCCAACCGCCCTCCTTGATCTTTAATTCAGGGGTTGCAAAACTTCTTTGTAAAGATCCAGATAGTAAATATTTTAGGTTTTGTAGATTACATATGGTCTCTGTTGCATCATATTCTTCTTATTCTTCTCTTTTACAACTCTTTAAAATATATATATATATAATTCTTAGCTCACAAGCCATGCAAAAACAGGACATGGGCCTAATGTATCAGTCTGCAGATCACAGTCATTGGATGCAGACATACAATCCCGAGGTGAAGGGGAAACTGGGGCACTTGCTTCATAGAAGCCAGCAACAATTCCCTGGCTAAAGATTAGCAAGTAAAAACTATGAACTCTACCTATTTGGTCTCTTCTTCATTTACTTTTATTTTCCTTGATGGCTAGGTTCTTATCTTTTCCCAAAGACAACAAAAGAAAACTTAAGAAGAGAAGGAAGAAGGAGGCAGAAAGGAGGTAGGAGAGAGAGGAAGAATGGGATAGGTAAAAAGAAAGAGCAAGAAAGAAAACAAAGAGGGAAGTAAAAAGAAAAGAGGATAAAAGGGCAGAAAAAAAGGGATAAAGACAGAGGTAGAAAGAGGGGAATGGGGGAGAAAAAGAAAGAAAAACAGAAAGCAAGCCAGAATATGGAAGCTAGGGCATAGTCTCTCCTTCTTTTCCTTAGAGCCAGTCAGCTCTTAGAGGCACCTCCCCAGCTGCTTTCAAACACTGCGATTGCTGCCCAGCCACTGATCATCATCCCAAGAAGTGAAATGTGGGCTTCACATCTGAAAACTTCCACTTGGTTTTTCACCAAGTGAAATGGAACACGAGATTCAGGGCCCAAGCAAATGGCTTATGTTTTCTTTGGGACACTAGGGCTGTGTCTGCCCAGGGAAAATTTTGATGTACTGACTGACTGACTCTAGTGCATATGATTAATGTATATATAGGGCAAACCAGGATAATTCAGACCTTTTTTCTTCTACAGGAGGTTTTCAGCCGGAATTATCTGGATGGTTGCCTCAACTCTCCACTAGGCTTTGCCAGAATAAGCACAGCCAGTGGAGTATGCAGGAGACAGGGACCACTCCCTCTCTCCAAGGTTCCCTTTAACTCCCACACCCTGTGCAACTGAGTATAGTGGGACCTGTACTGACAGGCATTCCTTCTGGGGGCAAATGTAAATTCTGTCTGATAAGTCTCTAAGAAGCCCCAAGAACCCAAAATATTGCATACTGCTTAACTGTCAGATGGCAAAATATAATAGATGGATGAAAGGGGAGAACCATACTAATGGAGGGAAAATGTCACCCTGTTCCTTTCCTCATCCCAAAAAGAAGCTAGCAAAGCCAAAGCCCATGACATCCCAATCAAATGAATTAGTACATGTGCATACAGTTTCTCTTATAAGTTTAGATACCTGGATTGTAATTTCTTTTCTTTAAGTTGATAGACTCATGTATAGATATAGCTTTAGTTTCTAAAAGCATAGTTTAAAAGTGCATTTAAGGCTGAAAACAGAGGATTGCTTAAGGCCAGGAGTTTGAGACCAGCCTGAGCAACATAGTGACACCCCACCTCTATAAAAAACAATAACAATAAATTAACGAAGCGTAGGGGCTGGCACCTGTAGTCCTAACTACTCAGGAGTCTGAGGCAGGAGGATTGCTTGAGATCAAGAGGTCAAGGTTGCAGAGAGCTGTGTTTGTGCCACTGCATTCCAGCCTAGGCAACACAGCAAGACTCTATCTCAAAATAAATAAATAAATAAAAGTACATTTAGACTACAAACTAACACATACAAATTCTGTTGTTCCTAGAGGTACACTTTATGTGACAGAGTGCTACTGACAAGGTTTGTACAAGGTTTAATTTTTTAAAATGAAATTACAAGCTGTAATTAATTAGGGAACAATACTACTCAAAGTAACCCCTTGGTAAATTATTTTGTGAAGAATGATTCTATAAAATTAATTATGAATTCATAATTCACCTGGTAAAACTGTATCTTCATTGACTCCTGCATTGATATCATGATTCTGGGTTTGGGTTTTGTTCTGTTTTGTTTTGGAGAAAAGGTAAAAAGAATAATGAGAAAAATGCATGATAGTTTATTTTACTGTATCTTACAGATCCAACTTCTAATGATGAAGCTTCCCACATAACTTCTTTCTTTTTGGGAGCAGAAATAAAGGAAGAAAATGAAGAGTCAGAGCTGTTGATACACTGGGAAAATATTTTTCCACTCTATTGAAACTTTCTACCTTTCCTTCCCTTCTGTTTCACCAGTTCTCTAAGTGATAATTACAGAGTGATAACTCCCCAGTTACTATTTGTGTGGTGTTTTTTTTGTTTGTTTGTTTCATTTTGTTTTTGCAGATTTCACTGCTTATTTTTTCCCCTGAATGCATAATCTCTAAAATAAAGCACTCAAAATTCTTAAAAGTTCCCTCTCTACTTAGACACTGCCTTATCCCAACAGATACAGTCATTGTAACTACTGCATGAGAAAGATCCTGAAATGTATTAAGTCAAAACCCAAAGAACAGTAACAACAAATTGTTAAATAGGCAATTCTATGGGTATCTCTTAAAAGTTTCTTATTTATCTGTAGGGTATATAGAAAGTTTGCTCATTTTCACTTGCAAAAGTTTTCTTGCTGCCAAGTAGTGAAAAGAAAACTTTAGAAAAGAGAGATCATCTGTAAAATACGCATCTGTAAAATAAGTTTCTCTTTTCAAATTGCTTGTACTGAGCTGTTTGGTGGCCCCACGATATGTGCTGAGTGTGACTCCTTGGAAGCAGTCTGTAACCTTGGGCAGATTTGTGGTGACAAATGTTGCTATGCTTCTTTCTGTAAGCACCGCTTCTGCTAGAGGGCACTGTACATTAGACAAGGCCTTGTGTTCTGCTTCGGAAAGACAGCTCTCTGGTGTAGCACCTGTGTCTAAGTCTCCATTTGTTAAAACATGTGTGTGTTTCCCTTTTTGGCAGATAAGACTTCGGGAAGCATGATTCCAAAGGGATTATTTCATGTGATAAATAAAACCGGAGTTAGTTGAGTGTTTTTCTACCATGTAAAAGCCATAGATAACATATTCACCTCACTTTCAGAATTGCTCCACAAAGTAGGGCAAATACTTACTTTTCAGTTGGTAGACTCCTTCACTGTTCATTTCACACCACCCCCCACCTCCGACTCTACTCTTCACTCTTCCTTGGAACAAAAGCAGCTAGTTCCAATTAAACTCATGGACACAAACCACTTCCCTGTCTCTGGGTTTGAAGGGCATAATGGCGAACCTAAGTTTGCAAATGACAGAAATAATTGGAGAAACAAGCTATGATTCTAGAAGAGATTTTCCACCATCTCTATATCACAGTTATCTCTCAAGTAGTTAGTATACATAGCCCCCTCCTTGTTTAGTAGTTGAGAACTAGGGGCCATACATACAGTTAGTATTTGTCAATTACAATAAATAATAGTAATAAAAATAAAGAAAATTAGAGAAGAAAAGCAAACAAACCCCATAAATACGGTCACTCTGCATTTATTAAAAGGCTCCATTTCTCTTTTCATCGGCTCCTTGATTAGTTGTTCACTAGCTTGGAAGCCTGACTTGAATTAAATGAATACATTAATAGAATGTATTAATTAAATGAATACATTAATAGAAATCACTGAAATACACATAAGCTCTGAAGAAGTCAGAGTTTATGTTAGCCAAAAAAACACTGTAAGTAATGGTAAGGGAAAATAAAATAACGATTATAAGCAGTTTGTTTTTCAGTTTTAGGGAAGGAAATGTGCAATACAAGAAAAGAAAATGTGATGGACTTTAGTGAGAGACTGGATCTTTGCTATACTAGTGTGCAAACCTGGTGCTTTAAAGACTGGCAATGTCTTTGTTTTACTCTTTCTCTCTTTCTGTGATTTGTAGCATACATGGAAGATCTCACAAGATATGTTGAACAAAGCAGAAGACTTATTATCGTGCTAACTCCAGACTATATTCTCAGACGGGGATGGAGTATTTTTGAACTGGAAAGCAGACTCCATAACATGCTAGTCAGTGGAGAAATCAAAGTGATTTTGATTGAGTGTACAGAATTAAAAGGGAAAGTGAATTGCCAGGAAGTGGAATCACTAAAGCGCAGCATCAAACTTCTGTCCCTGATCAAGTGGAAGGGACCCAAAAGCAGCAAACTAAATTCTAAGTTTTGGAAGCACTTAGTATATGAAATGCCCATCAAGAAAAAAGAAATGCTATCTCGGTGCCAAGTTCTAGACTCCGCAGAACAAGGACTTTTTGGAGAACTCCAGCCTATACCCTCCATTGCCATGACCACTACTTCAGCTACTCTGGTGTCATCTCAAGCTGATCTCCCTGAATTCCACCATTCAGATTCAATGCAAATGAGGCACTGTTGCAGAGGTTATAAACATGAGATACCAACCACGACCTTGCCAGTACCTTCCTTAGGCAACCACCATACTTATTGTAACCTGCCTCTGACGCTACTCAACGGACAGCTACCCCTTAATAACACCCTGAAAGATACCCAGGAATTTCATAGGAACAGTTCTTTGCTGCCTTTATCCTCCAAAGAGCTTAGCTTTACCAGTGATATTTGGTAGTGAAAAATAGGAATTCCTCTGAACAGCTAGATGAGCATAGAGAATTTCTGCTATACCAAGCATAAAGTACACCTAATAACGTTGAGGTGTTAAAAACGTGTTTGAAGAAAAAGGTACAAAAATGGCTTTTATACTTAAATATTTTTGTTTACATTTCCAGAATAGTGGGGGGAAAGAAGGACCTGCATTTGTAGTATGGCGCTTTGTTCTAATGTACAGTTTTGATTTCTTCCTGAAAACAAAAATTTTAAAATCCTGTTGTCTTAGAGTAGGTTTTATGATAGCACATGGACTGCATGCTTAGTAGGTGAGCTGTCTTGCCCATATTTAAAAAGATTTCAGTATTCACATGGTATTTGAAATAAAGAAAATTTAAAGATTTTTAATTGAATTTGAAAATTCTCAACCAAGTTTAAGGGGAAAAATAACTTCTATAGAGTTCTGAAAATTCAGGAATTATCAAGAAAGAAATGTTGATGCACTCCAGTTGGAAGATTGTTTGTAGAGGAAGATCAGTTGAGAAAAAATGTGATTGAAATGTTTAAAACTTCTTCAACATAATGGACACTTTCTATAGACTAAATCAACAGCTCATAATAACAGCTTTTAGTTTTATTAGGGAACACATCTTCTGTAGGCAAATTGGTAGATAGGTAAACAATGTGCATTTAAGCAAATGAATAGACAGGCTGTGTGTTCTCTTAGGATGATTTTGAACAGCCCTTGTGGCTTTCTAATTCCAAAATTTTACAACGTTGAAAACACATTTTGAAGTACACATTTCATTATTTGCTAACAAATTCACATTTGGATTTTTTCCTTGACCTGCTGTAAGTATTATATGAAGATGTGGACATCTTCCTGCTTTTTTTCAACATCGTTGACGTTTGAATTCAAATACATATTGACTGCAAGTGTCAGCAATTGAAAAGAAGTACTGCAACAATATTCGCAGATGAAGTGCTAAATGATTTATGTTTACTAGTGGTAGAGCAGCAATTGCACAGTTTCTCACTGGCAATGTAGTTATAAAACAGACTATTCTGTATGTATAATATTTGGCCATCTGTGCAAGACTCCTGCACAAGTATGTCTACTCCTGGTGCTTTGAAGAGTATATTTGATAGGCTAAACTTCTCCATCCTCACATAGTGACTGTGACTGTACCATGCCAGAAAATCCCTGTAAATAATCTAAGTATCGCCTATTTGCTGTAAGGAATGTGCTCCTATTCTAGTATTTATTATGGATTACTGCTTTATGTTCTTTCCAATTAATCAAATTAGATGTGCTCTCCACCTAGATGCCTGTGAGGGTCATTTGTTAATCAAGGTCAATTTTGGCATTTTGCAATAGTTCTTAAATCATGTTCTTGGACAAACATAAAACAAGGACAAATGTACACAATGTGTAAAAATTAATAATTTGCCCACCCCTTGTAATTGTGAATCCCAAATGTATAAGAGAACACCAGATAATGCTTTATTTCTTTCAGTATTTTTTCATTATTGAATTTCTGTGATCCACGAGTTTTGTTCAAATTACTTATTTCTCTGTTGCTTTTCTGTATCCCAGCCATTCAGAAAATGCATTCTGCACCTACAGTGGGTGAAAGCTTAGCAGTGATACATGTTTATTTCACAGCCGGACAATTAGTTGCTCTTTTGAAAAACCCTGTTCAACACATGTCTGTGTTTTATAGATGTACTTTTTCCACTGAGAAAGATAATTTTGTTATGTAAAATCTATAAGCCTTTCAAAATGAAAATTTATCAATTCTGAACTGTTTCCAAGTGTTATAAAGTTGTATTTACTCTGGTTGTTCTTTAATGCTATGTGTATTTACTAAGTTAAAAATCTGCATGAACTCATATACTCGTGTAATATAAGTTTAAGTTACCAACTGTATTTTTTATTATATTATTTTTCACAGAAATCTAGATTAATTCAAATATAATGTTTGGTGGTATTTTTAAATTAATAGTTCTGTATTGAGCATGTAAGTTCTGAAAATATAACATGAGTCTCTCTGCTTCCTCTATTTACAATGATTAAATGTGGGTAGCAATTTGAGTTGGCTGGCCACAATGTGTCCTTTCACTACTAGTAGGTACTCAAAAACAGAGCATTCACACTTGTGCTGGGGAACTTGACAAGAAACCTTTTCTACAATTTTCAGGAACCAATGTGTACACTATCTATAAAAATGTATTTCTAGATGGCAATTCAAAATTTAATTTTCATCTCAGATTTCTAAAATATATAGCCCATAAGGGTATAATAGGTATTTAGTCTAGAACATGAAGTATTTTCCTAGTTGCATTCACAGAGGGAAAAATATTTCTTCTCAATTTTTCACTGAAATTGATTTTGGAAATCTAGAAAAACACTGGTACAACTAGTTATCATATATTGATAACAAATTTATTGTTATATTATTGTATGCAAGAATGTATACTTTTTAAGACAGATTATTTTAAGGTGAAACATTCAGAAAATATAAGAAATGTACAAAACCACAAATAGGAAATTAAAATTGCATGAGAACAAACAATGCTCAAGGATATGGACAATGTGTACATGGGTTTAATTAGACAAAATATGAAATATGGTGAGATTGATAATCTATGGACTCCAATATAACTATGGAAACTCTAAAAAGTGGCTGGATGGTACCTGAAAAGAAGATGTCTGTCCTCACTGCCTCTAAGCTTTAATTGAATTAGGTCCAAATCTGGTCCACTTTCAATCACTCACTCAAAAATATAAGTACAAAGAGAGTTGCAGGTTTCTGGTAAGGCTTGAACCAAAAATAGCATCATGTGAGAGGTTGATATTTTGTCTGAGGATTGATGGTTAACATGGTAGGGCTTTGGAGGAAATGGTGCAATCAGAGGGTGAAACAGAGTTCAGTTATGAAAGAGAAGTTTATAGAGGTGTCCAAGAGGACATGGGAATCAGTAGTATCCTGCGGATAACTTCCACAACGGGTTTGGAGAATAATAAGTGTGAAAAGGAAAAAAATTCTTGCAGGAAAGAGAAGGAGAGTCTTTGACCCATGTAGTATTTGAAGGGCTTACAAGAGTAAGAAACCACTGCTATAAAGCATTTACTGTCATTTGACATTTTGTTTTTAAATAAATTGGTTGGTTTTTACAAAGTATTTTCTAGAAAATTGAGTAATGGCCAAGGGAAATATCCAGAAAATTACACATATAAATCTTTACACTCCTGATATTCATTTCCCAAGTTGAAGTAGTGTGCTGATAAAACCAGACTCAAGACAGAAAATAGTTCCATAGTGACCAGTTAAGTTTGAATACTTGCAATTGTTGTTGCTCTTTTCTAGGACAGAATTTGATGTTGAAAATTGGCTCCAATTTCTCTATTACTCATGCATTTTTGTTTTACTATGTCTGATAGAGATCACAGTGCTGAGCATTAAGGCTTTCTGATGAATGTATGGAGTAGTTTGATAAACAATAATCATTCACTTCAAACTCTTACATCAAACTTGTCTTGGTTTAGAACTGGAATCAGCCACAAGAAATGTAAGCTTATTTGGCAGTCCATTTAATTACTGTGCGATCAGAACTTGTGAAGTCACCTACACTCATATAACTTGTCTTTCCAAATGCTCACTGCTGTTTGCTCAACATTTTCTCCAAATGGTATTAAAGTAAATCATGAGTATTTATTGAGTGCCCACTGTGTACTGGCCACTGTATAAAGTATAATAGAAATCATTTTTAAAAATTGAAGTCCCTGTGCTCAAGTAGTGTACACATCATGTACATGAAGAAAGGTGGGTATTTATAAAACACATTTAAGTATAGGAAATTAATATTGTACATGCAGAGCAGATAAGTGAGGTGGGGCAATTCAGTGCTGACTGTGGCAAGATAAAAGTTTGGAATAGATCCAAGAGTGGTGAAGAATAGGAATTTCTCAAGTGCAGAGAATAGCACATGGGAAGATTCAACAAAGAATAAGTCAGTCTTATTTAGCTGATAGTGAGCACATTTGGTTGGCAAGAGCAGACTCTGTGTGAGAACATAATAAGAAATAAGAGCCAGGTGCAGTGGTTCATACCTGAAATCCCAACACTTTGTGAGGCTGAGGCAGGTGGATCACTTGAGTCCAGGAGTTTGAGAACAGCCTGGGCAACATGACAAAACCCTGTCTTCACCAAAAAAATACAAAAATTAGCTGAGAGTGGTGGTGCATGCTTATAGTCTCAGCTACCCAGGAGGCAGAAGTGGGAGAATTACTTGAGGTTGGGAGGCAGAGGTTACAGTGAGCTGAGACCGTGCCACTGCACTCCAGCCTGTGCAACAGAGCAAGACCTTGTCGAGAGAGAGAGAGAGAGAGAGAGAGAGAGAGAGAGAGAGAGAGAGAACTAAGACTGAGAAATGTGGTGGAGCATTCATCTGATAGCAGATGCAGGAAAAAGTATGTAAGGAGAGATAATGGAGGCAGGGAGACCAGCTAAGATGCTATTATCATAGTTCAGGTGTGAGGTGAGAAATGATGGAGCTAGGGTGGCGACCTGGATACTCAGAAAAAGGCAGATCTGAGGAGGGAGAGAAATCGGCAGGATGTGGGATTTGATGAACATACATAGTCTCTATTACTAAGATGCTTAGCAATTGTTTTCCAGAACACCAGAAGATGAAACACAATTTAGGCAGGAAAGTTGTAGGAAAGAGGGCCTTTACTTTTTTTTTTTTTTTTTTTTGAAATGAAGTCTCGCTCTGTGGACCAGGCTGGAGTGCAGTGGCGTGATCTCGGCTCACTGCAACCTCCACCTCCCAGATTCAAGTGATTCTCCTGCCTCGGCCTCCTGAGTAGCTGGGATTACAGGCGTGTGCCACAATGCTCGGCTAATTTTTGTATTTTTAGTAGAGATGGGGTTTCACCATGTTGGTGAGGCTGCTCTCGAACTCTTGACCTCGTGATCCACTGGCCTCGGACTCCCAAAGTGCTGGGATTACAGGCCTGAGCCACCGCACACCACTTTCTGAAATAGAAAATGCCAGAATAGATGAAGAGTTGCTGAAGATCAGTGGTCTCTTCTTACTCCTTATTATAGTCCAAGCATCCATAATAGTCCTGGTCACAGAGTAGGTGCTCACATCTCATTTGTGAATTAAATGGACAAGTGGATTTGGGAGCACTGTGAAGTTTAAATTCCTACAATCCTTAAAAAATATGAGAGTTTATTTTTTCCATTTGCTTCTTTCAGCAAGCAACTTTTTTATTGTTTACAACATTTTAAAAAGAAAATAGTGTATTAGATTATCTATCTACATCCTGTCTAGGTCTAGCATTTTAGGATCTAAGTCAATTTGTGGTTGCAGATAAAAGTTTCCTAAGCATTCTGCCAGTCACACAAATCATTCTTCTTCAGAGCATTTATACAATTTAGTTCTGTGAGGCCACCCAACATAGTTCATTGCTCCTAACCACATAGTCATTTTTCCTAAATACATACTTTATATGCTGACATTGCCAATAAAAACATTGCCTCTCTTTTTTTGTTTTTTTGCAAAAGGTAATTTATGCCTATAATTATCATATTGGGTCAAAGAATAGGGATTAGATTAACCTACTTTACTGGGCACAGTAGCAATTCCACCAATGAATTCAGGATGCAGAGATATCTGAGTTTCTGTCCTCCTCTGACACATTTTCTAAGCATCCAATAGCTTGACAGTCCTTAACTTTCTTGATAGAGTAGCAAAATACCAGAAAATATTAAAATGTCATCTATTTGTATGTGGGGCAAATTATTTAGCCTTTCTGTGCCTCCATTTCTTCATTTGTAAAATGCAGATACCAATAATACACAGGAGTGTGAACATTGTAAGTTAATGTATGCAAAGTGCTTAGAACAGTGTTGGCACAGAGTAAGAGCTATGTAAGAATTATTGTTACAATTATTATTTTACACAAAATGTCACTGCTGACCTACTGTCCACAGGAAATACATTTTGTTTTACTTTCCAAGTGATAGAGATTGGTTACTAGGTTTCTTGCGTGACTGCCTGTATGACCAAGGACACTCATTTTCCAAGACAGCTGGCTGAGGTTAGAGGTGCATTTTGTGGCCATGGAACAGATCACAGCTAACTGGCCCCATTCAAGGAACAAACCTACAGTAACTTTGACCTCATTAGTAATGTATTCTGAGCTAGACAAAAACCAGGACTCTCAGAACATGGATTATTCAGATTTGTTGTCCATGTTAATCAAAGTCCCCAGATGATTGCTTGATACTCTGCTTCACTTTAGCTAAGTTTACATAAGACCAAAACATCTGGATGAGAAGTGAAAAAATACAGATGTTTAAGCCACTGATGGGAAACATCCAGATGTCTCAAATTTGGATTTGTCATTTTGTTCTTTGTTTTAAAGGAAAGAGAAGCCAAAAAAAAAAAAAAAAAAAAAATCACCATAGTTTGTCTTTTTCCTTAACCTGGGTAAAATCAAACTGGTTTCTTGTTATAGAAGTTTAAAATGCTTACAAGTTGATTAGAAAGCTTTTTGATAATATCGCTAGATAAGCTGCATTTCAGGAGGAGTTTTTTGTTTGTTTGTTTGTTTGTTTTAACTTAAGCATCTGATCTATGAGTAGTGCTTGTGAGAGGCGATTGCTTTTAGAGTGAGACAGTATCTTGGAAGAGTTGATCACAATGAATTCTCCAGGAAAGTATGGCTGGGATGATACCAACAGTAAAAGAAAATTTGCTAAAGAAGTTCCTCAGAAATATTGCTTATTTCCTAAGAGGATATGACCTCAATTAAATGTATTAGGAGTTAAATCTGAAATAATACATGTAAATCTCTTTTTATGTTTATGAAATACTTGCTACCTGCAAACCAACAGAGAGAGTTAACTATAGGAATACACAAAATTGGTAGCCTTTTATGGAGCACATTTTGAAGGAAATCAAAATTTATGAGGAAGGCAGTCCCCAAAATGCCTATCACCGGTGTCCTAAAATCATATTAACTAGGTTAAATCATGATGTCCCCATGGAGTTGCCAAAATCTAGCCTTTATAATTCCACCAAACTACTCTATCAGGAAGGGAAGCACATTTTCTAGATAACACATTAATGTGGATATTAACTCAGGCAATTTTAGAAATGAATGGGAACTTCAAG